TGCGGGGAGCCCAGCTGCTCTGTCTCCTCGCACCAGCTCAGCCCCGTGTGTCAGCATGGGTTAGGATCACAGGGAAGGTTCTGTGCAATAAGGAAATCAAGGTGTTAGCCAATCCTACTGTAAGAATAGATTTTATTTGTATGCAAATTTATTAAAATATATAGTGCATTAGAAGTACAAGTACTAAATGTTACAATCGGCAGTAAAGGTATTTTATAAATTCTTGTAGTCTTGAAAAATAAAATTGCTTTATAAACTCTGTAAGTTTTTGAAAGTCAGGAAAATAAAAGGAAGTTAAATCAAACAAGAAGCCTCACGTGGTAGCGGCCAGACATTTCGTCTCAGGCTTTGCGAGACTTAGTGCCAAGCGACAGCCTTCCAGCAGGGCTTAAGACAAAAACAAATTCCCAATTTTACTGGGAAATCAATGCGACAGCAGTTGTCCCATCCCAGGATACACCTAAACCCCACGCCAAAACCTGACCAGTGGTATTTATGGGATTTCCCTTGGTAACCCTGGAAGATGACAGCAAACATCCAGCGCAACCCCTAGAAACCGCTCCTAAGGCCCAGGCGCTGCTGCTCCTGCCTCAGCCCAACCCGAGCCCGCAAACCCACCGAGCAGCACAGCAGCAGTGCGGCTGGGCTCGGTGCTTCAGCCACACAGCAACATCAGGATATCGACAGTGTTACCGGGATCTTTATTTCGGCTTCCAGAAGGTATGAGCACGGCCTCTGGGACTGCCCTCGCACTCAGCTCTCGCTGCAGCCCAGCAGCAGACGGTACTTCGCAGGACCCCACCAGTGCCTGCTGGTAGCAATGGACAAGTTCTCGTTTGCACCAGGGTTTAAAAAACCCAGTAGCTGAAGGCTAGCCTCCGAACTCCATCACTGTTTAAACAACTTATATTCTATAAAAATATACAACAGCCAAGGAATGCTGCTATGCTAGAATATGCTATTATTTTTATCAAGTCAAATACAGACACAGCATTAGACACTCCGCTTTGTTTTTTTAGCGAATCATAAGCTCATCTGTGTTCTGCTGTTGTAACTGCAGCTCTCCACGGCTGCCCCAGGACTTGCTGTAATCGGACTGTCAATAGCTGAAGGCCAAAAATGGCTTTCACTGGGGATTGTGACTGGAGCATCGCACCAGAAGTAGCGAAGTGTTTGTGATCATGTGATTGCAGAATAAAACGCTATCCTGTTTCCCTACGTCAAGGTAAAGATCTCTGTCACAATTTGTGCTGAAAAGCTGAGTATAAATTTACATTCATTGTCAAGTTGTTTTAAGGGCTCTTGACAACATCTGAAATCCTGACACCACTGACTTCAGTGGGAGTTTTGCTACTTACTACAGTACACATCTATTGTCACTACATATTAAATGATCTAGCAAAAAGTCAGGGCTCATTTTATGAAGCAGGGAGAGCTCCCTGCCAGACTAAATAAACAACCGATTTGTGCACAGCTGGCACTAAAAAACTGTATGCAGTGTTTCACCAGAATTCCTGCAGATACTGCTCCGTGAAGTGGAGAGCACCCTGTGAAAGACCCAAAGCTATTACACACAGGTTAAAAAAAAAGAAAAATGAAATCACAGCATCCACTAGTAACCAGGAACTAACAGAATGAAACCCAGGGCCGTGAATATATGCTCTGAAGAGCACAAGTGTACCAGTTAAAATGCATTTAGTCAGTAAAGCACAAACTAGGAGTTTTACCTACATGGGAGCCAGTGACCGACTGACCTGTCCAGGGCTAGCCAGCTTGCAGCCGGAGGTGGTGTTTTAGCCTTTAATGTTGTAGTGCTTTTATTAAAAAATTTAAATTATGTTACAAAAAAAAAAACCTCCCCAAAAGACAGCAGACGTTGAAGGAGGACTGCAGACCACAATCTGTAAGCTGGTCACAGCTTTCTCAGGCAGACACTGTGACTGGCTTCCAGTTTCCACGCACACCCACCAACCCACCACACTGTGAGCAGAAGAGGAAGCCTTTTCTGTTGCACATCTTCTCAGTTAACTAAGAGTTAGCCAAGAGGAAGTCTACACAATACAGAAAAAGGAAGGATATGGAAACAGAAAGGAAAAGTGCAGAGCTTTAAAAATCCAGCTTTTAGGCAGAAATAATAAAAAAAAAATGCTATGGATTCCTACACTAACTTTTAATCTAATCAATGAAACAGTCAGAGAGAAACAATCCTCCCCAAAAGCTCCATCAGTAAATTAAATGTATGGCGCAGCACATCCACTATATTCTGCAAACGGGTGCAGAAATCTTGACAAACAAGGAGCACGAATTCCGAGATACACGCGGGAGTAGCTTCGATTACAACTGATAACACTGGTTTGTGAAATGAGAACACAGTTACCACCATTATTACAAAAAGAAGCAGGACTGCTAAAGGATTCACAGCCTGGAGGAGTTCTTCAGATTCTCTTCCTTCCTTTCCGCTGCCTTGGCTGCATACCTTCCTCTTTGGAATCAGTTTTATTTTGGGGGTGAGGATCTTGTTGATCTGACCGATTTCGGTTTTCGACCACACCTCTTTCATCAGGTGCCCAATCCTCGGATGAATCTCCACAGGTTTCACATCCGGCAGCTGCTTCTGTTTCAAAGTTTTTATCCGTTGATGCATATCATCCACCTTCTCAAGAAAAATAAGCGGGGACTCTTCTTTCTGAATAGCTGTATTCAGTGACATTAATTCCAGCTGCTCTTCCCTTATTTTTTTCAGCTTCTCGATGAGAGGCTCGTATTCTTCCACAATGTGCGTGTTGATTTCATCCAGCGCCGTCAGCAGAGCTTGTTTTTTGTGCTCCAAGGTATCGCCAAGTTTCTTAAAATACTGTACTACCACTTTTTTATCGTCCTGAACAATGCTTTCACACCGGGACTTCTGCTCTTTCAGCTTTTCAATAAGCAAACACACATCAGTCCAGTGTTTATCAGTCAGCTGGTCGAGAAGCTTTCCCGAAGTCTCCTTTTCTTTTCTGTAGGCACTTTGAAGGTCGTCTATTGGATGACCGTTGTGTTTTCCTATCGTCAGGCAATGGCCGCACACCAATTTTCTGTCCAAAAGACAGTAAACATTCAGCGGTTGCCTGTAATGTTCGCTGCAGGTTGCAACATCAGAATGATCCTCCTGTTGGTATTTTTCAATAATCGCTTTCAAGGCAAAGTTGACAGGCAACGCTTCGGTCCCAGCGGCAGGGATCTCAACAATGCTCCTACAGTTCGGACACTTCAGAGGAACTCTCAGGGGTCTCCAGATGGAAAAGTTGTTTGAGAGCTGAATAACACCTTCCAGACAATTCCTACAGAACGTATGGGAACAGGGCAGGACGCGGGGGTCTTCGAATATGCTATAGCAAATGGAGCACGTTAGCTCTTCCTCAAAGTGATGCATCTCCTGCCAGAGAAAAACAAAAAGGAAAAACGGTTTAATCTCTTCTTGCAATCAACTCCTTTAAAATCATGTTACTAACCTAAGCGCCTCAACACGACATTTAACAACCAGTAACCCAACCTATACTGGCAGGTTATTGCCAAGCAGAAAAAAAAAGACAAAAGAACAAAAGTGAGTTCAAAGATTACAGCAAATTTTGATCTGCACTTACGATCTAAGTGACTAGTCAGTGTTCACCCCTATCCAACTTCTGCCTTAAAATGTAGCAATCTGCTACTAGATATTTTTTAGAGGTGGGAAATAGCAGAAAAGAGTGATAAAAGTTAGAACTAAAGTTTCTAAATAATCTAAGAGTTACGAAAATTTTCTCCCACTATGAGTAACCTTTTCAACATAAAAACAGAACAAGTACAGAAACTCCCCCCCCCGCCTTTTCTCAAATGTTACTTTTGTAATATAAATAATCTTTAGAGTATTAAGCAGTCAAATTTACTAAAAGCTATCTCCTGGTTCTGGCACAAACGAGAGCCTAACTCAGTGGCCCTTAAATACAATACCACTAACGGTAATTGGGCTCCTGGTGGTATTCTTGAGTTACTTTAAGCACAAAACTAAAAAATTAACTTTCGTTTTGCATCCTCTGGAATGTTCCCTTGTTTTGATTTAGCAGCTTAGTGAAATCACACTGTAAAGTCACAAATAACAACAACTCTAATGCCAGTTTTCATAAGAAATCATAATTCTATTTTTCGTTCTGTTAAAAAAATGGGGAAATTAGTAGGAACTTCCCTTATCTTTGTGTCACATTCTCCTGTCCCTTCATCAGTTCTAGTCAACTCTCTAGACTTTGCTACACTGCAAAAAGAAATTGTCCAAGCATTTACTATCAAAGACTCTCAATGTAGGGTCCAACTCTAAATCCAAAACCAATAACCTGCAGCTGGGCTAACGCAGCTGCCCCAAGTGCTACTGAACGTTTATCTGATTGGGGCGGGAAGATAAACCCTTTCACAGCTAATTAGTTAAGGAGGCAATTTGCTTCAGCTGTGCCCTCCTAGGCTTTTTAATGCAGTAACATATTTTTGCATTGAACTATCAGCATTTCTCATTGAGACTGAGATTAACAAAGTTTGACTGCTTTTTAAGTGAATCTACTTAAAAGGAACTGAATTGTTAATTACACTCTCCTTTGAAAATAAAACCTTAAATTGCATTTGGAATCGTGAAAACCACTACGGATTAAATTCGTCACCAACAAATAAACAGCTTAAATAAATTAAGCAGTACAGTTCCTGCAAAAGGCACAGAGCTAAACTGATGGAAGTCAGAAGCTAAATAACCAGACCCCGGTTCTCTGAGAGTTAAAGCAGCTCTGAAGAGAGAAACCTATTCTGGGTGTACAGAAATAAGCGTGGCTTATCTCACTTTATTAAGACAGACTGGTACAGCCAAAAGTGAAAGTGTTCAACTCTGCAAGTCTGATCAGACTCACTTGTCTTGTAAAACCAGATTGAAAAATAATAATAATAAACAATCTAATGAATACTATCACCAAAATATCCAGTTCAATTCAAGCAGGTATTTGTATGTTAAGTCAACTTTATACTGAAAACGCATTTTTATTAATTCAGCTTTAAAAAAAAAAAAAATTAAAAACAAAAATCTATCCAACACACTTCAGATCATTTTTTCAGCTAATTAATACAAAATGTTGGTTCACTTCTTTGAACTCTGCTTTTTAAAAGAGACCTGACAACATTCAGAAGGAAATCTGCTAGAAAGAGATGTAATTCTTAAGAACTGCCCTTTAACAGAAGAATGATAGTGTTAGCATTTATAACTAACTAGTGTATTCTTGTAAAGAGAATTAAAATGAAGGACTACAGACATTTAGCAAAAGACATTCACAACACTTTGACACTACATCTACTTCTGCACTGCTCTTCCTCCGAACGACCACGAGGCATTTCTCTTTTTACTGGGGAGCCACAGACCTTTATTTTCCTGCTTTTCCAATCAGCCCCTGGGGCAACACTAGGTTCCTTAGGTCTACGTGTTCCTAATTTCACATTTTTAAGTGACCTTCCAGACACTGAACCTAAAGAAATGCATCAATAATGAAGGGAAATTGAACAAGAAATCTACTCCACCATCTAGGCAAAATATTTTTTGGTAATTAATTCCCACAGCAAATATTTTTAAAGGTTTTATTTCTATATATATAAAGTTATTATGAATCTTGGGAATGTCACTTCCACTTAAACAAAAGAAAAAAGTCAGTGAAGTTTTTACTCATGGTTAGAAAAGAAAGAATCCTTAGTAGGTACTCTCATTCATTATTTTCTCTTACACATATGGAATAAATATAGTTTAAAAAAAAAATCTCCATGTTTAAAATCACAATTTTTTCCTAAATCTAGGGCTGTAGTTCTCTTCAAAGGAACTGATACAAGAGGGAAATTTTCTTCATAAAGGACACGTCTAGCTTATTTGAGCTACATAAAGGGCAAGATAAAATTAATCTTAAAAAAACTGTTTTAACTGCAAAGTAGTTGCTTGCTACCATAAAAACAAGGGAGCAACTTTACGAAATTTTTCTTAGCTCTATTATGAATCACCTCCAACGCTGCAGGAGTAAACACCCCCCCCCCCCCCCACAGCGAGGGGCCTGGCCCCCGAGCTCCAGCGGTGAGCAGCCAGCCAGCCCGCAGGCCTGCGCTCGCTTCTGGGCCGTTTCATAACCCTCACAGCCGCTAGCCAGAGGGACTGAAATTCCCTCTTCCACAGAAACATGCCCCGCTGTCTCCCAGGCAACTGAGAAATTCAGAGTGACAGCAGTTGCCTGCTAGCGAGCAGCTCTGGCAAAGCAGGCCGGCGGTGCTAGGGCAGGAGCTTTGGCTTTCAGCTCCAGGCACGGGCTGGAGCTGCAGCCCAGGAAAGCAAAAAGGAGAAATCCCAAAATTCAGTTTCATCCTGCAGCGGAGGAAATAGCCTACACACGAACAACAGTGGAAATAAAGCAGCATATGGCTATCAGAACACAGAGACTGGGAATGCCAATGAAAAAAGATACAGGAGACCCAACAGGTAAGCAAAGTTTTCCAGGACAAAAAAGTAGCAGGAAGCTGGTAAATGCTTTCCTGCACAGAGAAGATAAATCACAGAATCACAGTATGTTCAGGGTTGGAAGGGCCCTCTGGGGGTCACCCAGAGCAGGCTGCACAGCACCGCATACAGCCAGATCTTGAGTATCTTCAGAGAAGGAGACTCCACAGCCTCCCTGGGCAGCCTGGGCCAGGGCTCCATCACCCTCAGAGGGAAGAAGTTCTTCCTCGTCTTCAGCTGGAACTTCCTCTGCTTCAGTTTGTGCCCATTGCCCCTTGTCCTGTCGCTGGGCACCACTGGAAAGAGTTCCAAACAACTGCAGGAGCAAATAAGGGGGTGTGTGTATACACATACCTATCCTAAGAGTGACTTGGTATAAGCAAATTACAAACCAGAAAGTGTTTTAAAAATTCCGTAGTGTAATTGTGTCAGTATCAGGGTGAGCTTCAGAAATCTTCCAGCAACAGAAGGCCTACTAAGTGACTGTGATTTTCTTCTCTTCTAATTAGTGATACTGTAGATGAGGTGAAAACACGTAATACAGCACACCTGTACCACAGTTTATCCGACAAAGCTTTCAGTTAGGCAGATCAAAGCAACGGATGGAGTGTATTCCTCGTTAACACCACATTCCTCACCTAGTGATCAGGACACTGCTCACGCAGCTAATGATGCAAGGTGTCATTTAGAAACAATCACATCTGGAATACGGCGTACATCAGTGGGTAGGCAGATAAATAACTAACAGCTTTATAGCAAAAGGCAGCTGTAACAAGCTGCTACACGCCATTCTACTCTGGAGGATTTTAAAAGGTGAGTTTGGCATTTGTGGTGGTTGCGACAGCCTACACCAAGAGTTAAAAGGGGCAGTGCTGCCAGGCTCCCTGCTCCTCCTTCGCACCTCTGCCAGGAAATAAAACCACATCTGCTCTCTCCTGAAGGGCACTGAAACACTTGGCTTTCGCTAGCATGCTGCACTTCACTAAATCCGCGCCAGAAATGCTGTCCCCCTGTCCTACGGTGGTCCATGAAGTCCTCCTGTAGCACTAGCATAGAAGCTCAAGTTTATGTTGTGCAAAAAAAAAAGAGATTAAATGACATTACAGGCAGTGTTTTCTATTTAAAAGGCACCTTCATGGTAAAGGGTGATGGAACTTTTTTTAAGAAGAACAGAACGCTGAGGTGCAGCTCCGGTCCCTGTTGATGCATCACAAGGAACGGAACCTGCTACACCGCTGCCACGTCTGCTGGCTGTAACAAGAAGCCAAGCACCAGCAAGTACAGCTAAACCCCAAGCTTTTCTATCCCGGCCCGTTTCAGCTGCACTGCTCTACCCCACGCCACGAACATCCCACGCTCAAGCCACAGCAGCTCTCAACCAGGGCTGTTCTGCCCCTAGTCCCTGTTCCTACACCACCATCCCAGATTTTCTTGCTTTTTAAATAACCTGAAAGGAGACGAACAGCTGAGCAGTCTGTCCAGCTGCCCCATAGGGCTGACCTGCCAGTCCCCCCCCGTACATCCCTCCACCCGCTCCCTGTCTGCTACCACAACAAGTCACCACGCTCAAACCCAGCAACTTCCCCGCACTTTCCTTTCCCCGCTCGCACTCCGGGACTCACTCTCCATCCCTCACCTCTTTAATTCCGACACAACTTCTGCTCCGAGCGCTCGCCGCTCAGCAAACCTCTCCTCCGCCCTGTCCCCCGCAGGGCTCCC